CGGACTGGACAGTCTGCCAGGATCCGTCCGTGCAATGGCGACTACCGGCAGACGGCTGGACCAACTATGGGAACTATCGCGTTGAGGTGTACCAGACGCTGACCTCAGACGGGTAAGTCAAGACCGGTTTTTTGCGACTCTTGCAAGTATATCATGTCACAGTTGGGACTAGCAGTTGACCTTCCTTCCCTGTAGCGCCGGTCTCGATGCTACGCACATCCTCACCCACAACCCAGGCAATCGGAGCGATCCGAACGCCTACCTGAGTTGCATCATGATGGGCAAGTTCAATCCGGAAGTGTGCCAATTGAATGGTCCCCTGAGCGTGCAACCGGGCCCCGTGGTGATGTATGCGACCGAAGAGGCTGCGCGGCCGAACTAGAGCGGTGAATTCCTACGAGGCGGGTATGATACGGGTTGGAAATAGTGACTAGAAAGTAAGCTTACATGAATAACTACACCGGAAAATAATATTTTTAATAGCTGTTTTGCTTCTGCCTTTGAAAGCTTGAGTGATCGTATGTCATGTTTTATATATAATATGTCATTTACCTATTGACAAAGTAACTACCGGACCTGAGCCATAGCGTACCTACATACTTTGAGAGAAATGATCTGTTATTCGTTCAATTTGCGGGTATAACTTTCCACGAGTGGCACGAACTACTAAGCAATATTCGATCCGATAGGGCTATTTACCGGTGCGCCGAACCCGCGTGAGATAATAACATGGCATAAATGATATATCTTTTAGTAAACCAAACCTTCAATGCAGGTTTCCGTCAATAATGAGCTTCACTGGCTCTATAGCACTCCCATTCACGGAGGACTTTCCACGCGTGTTAGCTAGGGCTCTTACAGATATGCCTAGCTGCGATAATCGCTCTTGACGTGCCCCATTGGATGTAATCGTGTCCTTCTGTAAGCTCGTTTCATACCTTTAAAGCACAATAACTTGTAGACGAGAGAAGCTGTAGTTCTGCCAACAATCCAATCGCTGGACTGACGCTTTGTGGTATAGAGATATTGTTGACTGGTACCTTCACGTCCCACGGGCTTGTGGTTTAGTGGTATAATACTCCCTTAGCATGGGAGTGGTCCGGGGTTCGATTCCCCGCGAGTCCAACATCGGAGGTTCAATTCCTGCTGTACCAAGAATTTTGCTAAAAATCTTTTTTTTCGGGCCATCTAAAATTACACAGCAGAGATAATTCGTTTTTATTAAAAGCTCACTATAGACACAATTATTGAGAGCTTCTACGCCGCCGCAATTGGCCCGAGGAAAGCTGCTAGCAGGGACTCGAACGCTGACTATAGTAAGCCCATAGTACAAGTGGGTTACTCAAAAGCGCAGCATGCACTAACTCACGATGTATGTCCCTGTCACCTCCCCACAAGCGAAAGCGACCCGGCGATAGAGAGTCGTACTTCCGGGACTTCGTGGTCAGAGAAGGAAGGGCCCCGCAAGCTAGCAAGGCGTCGCTTTCACGGAGAAACGCATCGAAGAGGTTCTCGATTTATTTAGCAGCTAACCCAGATCAGTATGATCTTGAAAGCAACGACATCGGCGACGTCGATGATGACGGTAATGATGATCGTTCTTCTATCATTGACGTCGCTAGCAGCATCTCGGTGGGCGAAGCATTGATTGCTTGACGTTGAACGCAGTCCTTGATGGCCTGGTCGCAACCCATCATCAAGAGATACCTAAACCTGACTCTAGTAAGTAACGCGAGATTTCCTCACTACCCTTTCTCCCTTCCCCTATCTAGTGATCTGCATACTCCAGATCTTAATGAGGCCAGATGCCTTAATCGACAATACTATGAAACGGTTTAACGAGACAATAAGCTCTGACTATTATTTTGCCTAGTTCCTGAACCTCAGAGCGGTAATAGTGAGCGTCACGACATGTAGTACATATATATCCTCAATGACTTCTTCGATGGAGCTGAAAGGTCGGATAATAGCGAGGACAGATCTGTGCCTTTTAGTCACAGGACTCTCAAGTGGCTGCAGGCCAGTCAACCCAAGATCCCACCTACGTAGGGAAGGCTGTAGCAGTTTGACAGACTTAGCGGGACAACCCCTTTTGCCTCAACGGGCTCGAGGACACGTCGAAAGCATCAACTCTGTTAAGAAGGGGGTCGCTGGCGCTACACGCAACGATAGACCTATCGCAACGGCTGACATGGACTCTCGCGGGATGAAACAGAAGAAACTAGGCTGGTATTACGAGCAGCTAGCTGATGCTAGGCTAGGCCTGCCTCGCCGTACTGCCAACCCTTCCTTTGACCGAAGTTCAGAATGAGAATTACTGTCTTCACCTAGACTTTCTCTTGGCACTAGCTGAGTCTATTGATGCTGTTTTTCTCGGGGTCCTTAGCTCGCCGATCAATCACTTTACCGACATTTACGCTGCCTAGTACGGAGCAGCCTACAGCTCACAGGACATACCCCCACCAATATGGCTAGATTCTTCTTTAACTAAGGAACGAAGTTATAGAAAAGCTCGCGTTAAGCTTAAAGGATGCCTAGATAAGGGTTTCAAGAAAAGTAAAAAGTAATTAAAAGTCTAAAATTAGCTGATTGTATTCTAATTGGCTATACCACTGAGTCGCAGTTACTCCAAAACGTTGTCACCATCACTAGACTTTTATAGAAATCCTATTGGGGGCGCATATTCGCAATGGTTACAGCGATGCACTGAGGGGTAGCTGCAGTATGTCGCAGTGCATATGCCCCATACTCCATATGGCTTCCTAGATCATGCGAATGGCAGGGCCTGTAGCGACTCGAGCACCGCGTCGTTGGATCGCTGGATTATCTATTTTTGGTACAAAAGTAAGGAGAAACTAGAGAGTTGTTAACAAGCTTTTCTATTTAATCGTAGTGGCCGCATGGAAGAATCAATACACCACGCAGCGAAATTTTTGTATTTTGTTCTTAAAGACCAATATGACTTTTGGATTTACTCTTTCTACTCTATACCTTCATCATGCATTCAGTTGCAGGAAGAGTAGATACCTATGGCACGACAACGCCTTCTATTGAGCGCCGCGGCTGGGTCTCTTCCCCAGACACCAGGGGTACGATTGACATCATTTGGCCCTGCTTGACGACAATTTCACTTGTGCTCTGGACCATGCTACATCTTAATATCCCCGCACCATCGGACACTGCGAGGCATTTGGCATTCCGAAAGCTACGATGGCTTCTCTTTAGCCTACTTGCCCCTGAGCTTGTTATGATGTTTGCATTTTCTCAGTTCGCGTCTGCTCAGCAATCAGTGGGAGATATGAGAAGTCTAAACCAAACCCAATGGACTCTGGCACATGGCTTCTATGCTGATAGCGGGGGTTTTCAACTACACTTACCCGGTTATAAGCCATTCCCTATCACTGCGAAGCAGGTCGCCTATCTGACCCAGCAAGGACATATCGACATTCCCACGATTACAAAACGTGAAATCAGCGACAAATCCAAAGCCAACGGAGAAACGAAAGTCCTAACGTTTATCCAATCAGGTTGGTTAATTACAAAACTATTTGCGCGGGCCGTATATGGGCTTGAAATCACGCCATATGAACTTGCTACTGTTGCTATTCTCATTTGCTCGTTCACGACACTGGCTCTTTGGTGGCATAAACCACTTGATGTTCGCTCTCCAACATCCATATGCTCGAAGCATGATATCAAAACAATCATTAGTCAAGCTGACGACACGGCGCTGACATTTACGGACACACCCATGGATTTCATAGAGAGCAACATATACTGGTCAAGAAAAGCCCATGAGCCTTTATTACGACTTGTCTTGAAATTGGGATTGCAATCCTTTCCACTTGATAGTAGGTGCATCATAAGTAGTATATCAATTGGAGCTAACCGCTAATGGTCTCATGTTTGATCAAGGAATACCAAATGACAGAGACTATCGTCCGCGAAGTTTAAAGCAGAATTTTTATCTTTTGTTGCCAGTGGCTGCTTTTGCCAGCATCCACTTGGTAGGCTACAATCTCAGTTTTCCAACCGCTGCTGAGCAGATGTTGTGGCGGATTAACAGTATAATTACAGTAGTGACCATGAGCATGCACTGTCTATCCGATTCAGTTGGATTTTGGTGGACAGGGTACAAAGTAGAGAGTCTAGAGCTTTGGGGTCGTTATAAGACACACATGCCGGGATGCCTTATATTTATTGGCCTATCTATCATCTATTTCCTTTCAAGAATGGTTTTATTAACTGGAGCTATCATCAGTTTGAGGCATTTGCCGGCAGCGGCTTACAAGGAGGTGTTCTGGACGCAATATCTGCCTCGTCTCTAGTTTTAATTGCATCTAGCTTACATATAAAAGTTTTCTAAAATATCGAGGCAGATCACTAGAACCTTAGCTCCGAGAGTGAGGGAATATCTCCAACATGTTTAGCCCAGTTGCTTAAAACAATAGGTCAAAATAAAATAAAAATTCAAATATCAGCATTTAGTCAAGAATACGATGCAACACTTTTATTACTTTAATTAACCGTGAAGAAGTATCGCCTAGATGTCACTCCAAATTCCACGAACTTCCATTACGTCATCTTTGTTCAAGCGCTGGCATAGCCAATGCTATGAGTCACAATTAGCTATACTACATAGCTATGCAACGACTTGCATTGATACTCAAAATTATCTCCTTAGCACGACGACAAGATATTAAAAGCAGGGCGGTTGTGATTAGTCCGTGAATATGGCTTCTGCTTGTGGGCGAATACAAAACCGCCTCGCACAACGATGTTTCCGCTAGTAGTCCTGCCTTATTACCCTACCATCATCATCTAGTCCCTAGCTAACTCCTCTCGATGCAGGTAAAACCTGCAGTCTTGGTCTTGGAGTCTGTTATGTACATTTTGCCTAGTAGGACAAGCTAGGGGCATATCGCGTCTTACCCAATCATTACCCAATCATAATCTGACAATAATCTCACGACACCAACAAGTCAGTGACACAAAACATCGGACCCGTAGCTCAGCGGTAGAGCATCTGATTCCAGTTTCGCTGCATCCAGAAGGTCATCCGTTCAAATCGGGTCGGGTTCAATCCCCATGTCTTAAGACTAACTTACTTTTTACCACTTAGGCGAGTGGTTAAATTAGCTTGTGGCACTACTATAGTGAAGGTGAGCGGGATGGTGGATGTGGGTCCTTGTCATATCCAACAAATTCATTTTTTACAAAGGTCTATGCCAAAATCGCGCATTATCGTCAACGACAACCAATAGTGCGACATGCAGTCTAGCTAGCGGCTAGGTAAATAATACTTCGGACCGCTAACAGTTTGCAAAATAACAGGGTATTAATTACGCTATGCGCTTAGGAAAGGTGGGGTCGGTGCCCTGGCAGCTTAGGTAGACTTGTTAGCGGTCCGATGAGCTGGCCGCCGAGCCGACACACAGTATGTAGACTTTATTTGCACTATGGATTCTTGTTGGATTTCTTACTTAGTCAATCAACTAGCGAGTAAATTAGGCGGACAGAAAGGAGCGAGAAGAAAAGGGAACAAGATACGGAGTATGTATGCATGCTATTAGGACACCCCGTGGAGAATAAACTCGAAGTAAGTGTGGCTATCAAACTAAAAAAAAAAAAAAAAAAAAAAAAAAACATAGAAAAAGGCGTTTCCTTCCCTCCATTCTTTCTTTCGTGAACTCATATTCAACAGGTCTGCTCACATTATCTCTGCACAGCAGCTAAATTGAAGCCAATCATGAATAAATCAACAGCAGTAAATAAGCCAGACTACTACCTATCTCACAATCTTCTTCCAAAAATCAGTGCAGAACAAATAATCTACCTTAACCAAATCTTCTATACAATGAAAATCCTAGTTTCAAGCCCGACGCCACCCCTTCCTTATCCTCGCTTAGTTGTCCGTTAAATCAAACTCGCACGAGATGCCATGGTCGCGGTCCCCGCATTTCCCCGCCGAGCCATCAAGGACTGCAATCTGGTCGCCGTAGGCAATCGAAGCCCCGTCGAGGTTAGACGAGCCGCTATCACACCCGTTCCCATTGGTCACAATGAGATCCTCCTCAAGCCCGGTGGCTTCTTTGGGGATCGTTGTAGAGGGATCCGCAGTGCAGGGTGTTTGGATCGGGTCCACCTCGCTCCAGTCGCCGTCAGTTTCAGGCTGGCATACTCGGATCTGTCATGAGTTAGCGAGATACTCGGAGGGTTACGGCGAGAGATAAATGCCGTTAGGTAAGATACAAGATACGTACCCAGGGCTGCCCGTTGTAGTTGGAGTCACGGATCGAGGTGTAATGGACCACGAACTTGCCCTCCGTTGGGGGGAAAGCATGTTGGTCCGTCTGGCAGTCAAATAGAGCGGTTGCCGTGCCGGAGTAGAGAGCCACAGCGGCGAAGACGATGGAAGAAACAGTCTTGGAGTACATTGTGACGGTAAATCTGTAGCGTTTGGTTGACTTTCTTGAACGAGTAAGGGTGATTGGAATAAGTGCTTGTAAGCTAAAGTGTAGTAGATCGCTCTAGTTTCTATGAGTTGAGATGATGATAGTGAATTGAATAGTCATACTGCCAGGGAGGAGATCTCGAAGCCTTTATACACATTTTGGGTCTCCTTGTTACCTTAGTCTTGTCTCTCTCTTGCGTCACGATCGGCATGTTTTCAAGCATCATAAACCGGTGCGAGCTTTACCCAGTGTCGAAGCCTAAGTCCCAACATTTCGTCTTTAGTAACTCTATCTGACATCTAGTTAAACATCCTAAATTGGCGTCGATATCTATTCAACTTGGGTGAGGAGCCGCACGATGGATTGATGTTAGACTCCTGCAGGAGAATAAGCGCTTACCCGCGCGGCAGTGTAATAGTCAATCCGGGGATGGAATTCCATCAATGACGTAAAGATCGTCGAAGTTTTGCCAAGAAAAGAAGCACGTGCTGAGCAACGACTATAAAAAGGATGATTCATATTGAGCTGAAACGACCGATGAGCTGATTGGGCGCTGTTTTTAAAAAGGAATATAATTACGCCGTATTGCGCTTTAAGGCGATATAACAAACCATGCCCATCCGCCGCTTCCTAATTCCTGGCAACTACAAAGTAGCTGCTTATCTGGCTGAAAACGACGGAACTTTCAATTGTGCTGTGGCGTGATGATCACTGTGGTTTCAGTCTATAATCTCCGAATTGAGGATGCTACTACCAGTTCCTATTGAGGCCGTGCAGTTACCGCAAGGGGAAGAAATCGTCAATAGCATTGCCAATACACACGATGTTGCCGTTTTCGTCAACATTCACATCCAGGCGTCTAGTTAAGACCACGTAAATTGTTACTAAGAACAGAGGATCAACGCTCATATCTTTATGAATGATATCATGTATGGTTAAATTAGGATCTAGGGATAAGTTGGTCATTACTTGAAGTATGAGCTTTATATAGATTCTGTAATAATCAACTTGCTATACAAGTGGACGAAGGAACGTTTGACAACATAATATTCTATATTTTGTCTCTAAATGTCGATATTCATACTATTATTAGCAAACATCGACTTTTTCAAGTCATGTACTAAAGCACTGAGTTGGATGAAATTTAGGTGCTATTTTCAACGTATAGCTACAGGAAAAATGTTGCAAGAGTTGAATAATATTGCGTCATAGTTAAGAACTAGACTAGATATCGCTCGATGATCCCAAAATCACGTTGGTTTTGATGACAGAGCCTAAGCATTCTTCGTCTTAGAAAAAGTATAAATGATAGGTCTCTCCCGAAGTCAACTTCCTCTCGTCTCATCTTATCACATTAGCAGCAATTTCAGACATTGCAACTTAGCTTCAACAATCCAATCAACTGTAACGTATATCGTACTATATCGATTCACACCAATCAAACACCATCATGTACTTCACCAAAAGCGTCTCTGCTTTCCTCGTCGGCGCTTTGCTCGCTACCTCCGCCCTCGGTGACCTTCAAGTCCCGCGGTAAGTCTATACTTTACTAACACCCAGAGATTTGGGCGCTGTAAAATACTAACTGTGTTTATCAAAGACGTGCTGCAGAAGACATCGTAGCGCGAGAGCAGAAGCTAGAGAGAGCTAGAAAGCGAGCAAGTGACTGCAGCAACGAATCCGCGAAGAAGCGTGCGCTTCTTAGCGCTCGAGACAACAAGCTCGTCGACAGTGATTCCTGGGATGCAGGCAGTGGCCAGGACGAACTCTTGACTGTCGGCCTGGCGACCTGCTACGGTGTTGCCGTCGTAGGAAACGGGGGCATAGGGGAGGATCGCTTCTTGTCTCACTCCTATTCCGAGGATGACTCGCCGCCGGCGTTAGAGATGCTCCAAGCAGTGATTGAAGCCAAGAACGATGGGCTGAGCCAGCTCAGATCCGTTCTTATCTATCCTGATCCGAACTCATACGATAATGACCGAGACAAACAGGAGGTCCAGGACGAAATCAACAACTACATTGGAGCTCTCAACCATATTGGTGGTAGCGTCACGGCAGAGTCTCACGATTGGAGAGATCCCTGGGGCCTCAAGATCAGCTCTAACAAGAGAATCACATACGGCAGCGATGTCCACTTTTGATTTTCCGAAGATAGCAACACCGACTGGCCTGTTGCATACCATAGCGCTGTGCAGTACGAGCTTACGAGTTAGACTAGCTACTAGGTTATGGTATCCAATGGCGTCTGCTGGGTATTGACAAAGGTCTTTCATGAGTGTCTACAGTTTTAAGGGCCCTACATTTCTGATCATATTTGGAGTTTGTAGAGGACACATTTCACATTCCTTCGTATTTCTTATAACTCTATAGAAATCTATTTATGCATTACTTATATCAAACTTTTAACCCTTTTGTAGATAACTATTTTAATAGCCTTTTAGCAACCCTGTAAAGCACTAAAAAACCTTAATGAAGTATATTAAGCAGTGCTACAGAGGCGAATGATACTGTTTCATAGCTGGAGTGGTAGATGATTGTCGCAAATGGCTTGTTATTATTACACTTAGTACTGGCAACGAGGGTATAACTTATTGTAAACGAGTTGTAAGAAGTGGTGAAAGGCCGGTTCCGGCAGACCGCCCTAAGTCTAACGGGGAAGTTAAAAAGAAACCATCTACATAATGGTGAAATTAAGCTCATTTAAGTGACTAAAGATATGGAAAATTGGGCAACGCGTGTTGACGCGTCATAGTATTTAGTGGTGAGCGCGAACGCGTCGTGCCGAAAAGCCGAGGCGTGCCAAGATATGGTATACATGCTTGACTAGGCAGGGTTTAGTCTTACATGCATGCTCAATTTAACCCCTGTCTGCTAGCATTGATCGGCACAGCCACACTACCAAGAGTAGGATAGGATAGGCTAGGTATCTCTCAAACGTTTTCATTCTCATACGACATCGTGAGCATTGCCTTTGACTAAAGGCAACCCAGGCCTATTGGTTTGGATATGGGATGGCATCAATATTCACAAGAACTCCTTCTCAGGTGCACGCAATTTTGGCATGCATTTTGGACTGTGTCTCGTAGTCTCATCCTCAGATCGAGAACTCTAAGATTGCCAAGCTACCAGTATGCATCACTCCAAGACCCCTCGAAGGATATTCGACTAGCTACAGTACTGCCTGGCGGTTATGGCGATGACATAATAATACGCATTCAGCACGTTACTCTACAATCTAGGAGACCAATTCCATCCTTACGACTGTCTATACAGGAGATCCAGAGCACACTGCCGGCTTCTTGGGTAGCGCACGAGACTATAGAAGGGCGTTGCCTCTTCCTGCGCACTAAGATATACGGGGAGGGAGATCCAACATGGGATCACCCAAATCCCGATATTGAACGCTCTGTATACCAACGAGGCACTGAAGCGTCTCGATTGCCTGCTGATGGGGTTGTCTTCGACGCGTTGTCGTACGTCTGGGGTAGTTACTCATGGCTTCGTCAGCGAAGAGCATTAGTTGAATATTCAGAGGTAAGGAGCATTTGTTTCATGGCAAACCGCTACTAATTGTTCCTTCGAGAACACCATCTAATTGCCTGTCGCATAGCGGGGAAAGCTGGTTCG